AAGTCCCAAAGAAGGGACTGTGCCCAAGCAGTGCTCATCCACTCCTGTCTGGCTCCAGGCTGAGCTCTGGAACACGAAGGTAACAATATCCTGGTGGTGGATCGACTTTGCAGGTAAATGGAGGAAAACAGAGTGCATTGTGTTTCAATGTGTGCTAAGGGTGGCTGTCATGGTGAGCTAGCAAATCTTGCTGTAATTTGCATACAGGAATTTTGCCAAAGTCRTGGAAGCAAAGTGGTTTGTTACTTGCCTTTGAGGACTTGAGAGAGATCTGTCTTGGATATCCTCTTGTTGCCCTTACTGAGTTAACTTTCATGTGYTTAGAAGGTCATGGAGAAAATCATTAATATTAGGTTGATTTGATGGCTGAAAGGTAGTAAGTATTTCCTGCTTATCAGGTGGGGTTTGAGAGGACTTTGAATAGCCTGATTTGTTTATCTTTTGCAATCGGTACGGCCCTTAGCGAGAGGGATTTCATATTCCTGGTTCAGCTGGGGGGATGATATATGGTTTGCTCTCTGTTGAGTGCTTTGTAGCATAAATAGCAAAACACCAGGAAATTTTGAAGTCCAGCTCCCAGCTAACTTGGCCATGCTGTGGGCCTTGGACATCTCATGCTGTAACGCTTTATGACGTGAACAATAACAGATTAACATCMCCTCTTACTGGAAAGCTCAAAATAGAAAATCCAAAGTGCGTGGAGGCTGGATGGGTGGAAAGCCAAATCCTGTAAACGTGGCTTGGCAGGGCCAGGGTTGCATTGACCCTGGCAGGGCTGGGATTGCTCTGCATTCACAGGGAGGCATCTGTGAGTGCAGAGATGGGGCAGGAGCTGTGCAGGGCTGACATCGCACTGCTGCTGTTGGAGGCTTTTGCCATTCTTGAGCTTTTCTTGGATTGAAGCACAGTGAAACCTTAGGCTGCATCAGCAAAATGGTCCTTTCCCTCGCCCTCCGTCTGGGATTTAACAAATAGGGCAGTCATTCTTTAAGCTGAAGAATGGTTGTAAAGCCATTTAAAATGAAATCCACTATTATTTGAGAATCATCTGGTGAAAGAGCACTTGCAAACCTCCTGTTGTGGACTTGCGAGAAGACAGATGTCATTTTTGGTTCCTCTGGCTGTTTGGAAAGGAGGTAGGACTGAATACTCCCACCTTGAATGATTGGACAAGTACAACAGAGGAGAGAGAGCAGCTTCTTTTCAGGAATGAGGCATTTCTGTTGCATCTATAGCTTGAGGTGATGATGGTTGTTTTTAAAAGGAATGTTGTTTATTCCCTTACATAAACTCTGTATTGCCAACTGTATTTGTAGTTGTATATTATCCCCGAAAGGTGTAGTGACAAATAAGTAATCAATGGATAAAGAACTGATGGAAAAGAAAAAGAGAGGAAGGGTGAAAATGAAACCAAATTCGATGCTCTGCTTTAATGACTGGGATCTTACAGATTATAAACTGTTGCCAAAGAATGAGATGGAGTGGTATTAAACCTCTCTCCTGAGCTGCWGAAATTGGCATGCATAGACAGTGGCCCATGCCAGCTGGATAGATGCAAGACAGGCCATAATATAACCCCAAATCCCTGGGGGAGTCCTGTCTCCTGTCCCTAGGTGGTGTCCCATAGTGCTGCTCAGGAACTGGAAGGTGCAAGCAGCCCTTCCCTTCGGGGACCTGTTGTGTGGAGCTCTGGACCCAGAGTCTGTTCTGCTGCCTGCAGCATGGAGGTGTGGATGACCCAACTGAAAGGCAAAAGAAGGCTCTTGTTTTGTGTATGAGATGTTTATATGCAGTAATAGCATATCAATAGTGAAAATAAAAAAAAAAGGAAAACTTGTTTTGGTGAACAGGAGTGAAAGCTCTTTTAGTTYAAGGGACTTAAAGACATTTCTGTGTGCAAGTGTATTTGGGGGTGGATGTGCTTGGTTTTGGGTGACCTTCCTGACTGAGTGTTGGCRATCAGCTGCCAAAGGAGACATGTGTTACTAATTTTTTTGAGATTTATAGAAGGGTCTCTCTTATGGTGTATATACGTGGACTTTCTTATCTCAGAGAGGTTTGCTGCTTGAGGAAGTGCACCCTGTAGGGAAGGGGTCCTGTGAGATGGGTTTTAGCAATGATCAAATAGGTTTTATCTCATGAAATCAACACCGCCTGAGATTTTATTTTTGGGTATTGATATTCTCTCTTGCAGCCAGATGCAGCCCAGGCTGGCACGGTAAATTCCCCTTGGCCACAGTCCAGCAGAGCATCCTGTTTCCACAGAGTGCTTAAGTGTGAGTTTAAGCAGGCAGCTAAATCCGGATGGTTTCGCTGCTGCTCTGGACCGTGTCTTCTTGGCCAGGGGACAGGTCAGCTGCAAGGGGMACCTGCAGCACATTCCTCTCCTGGAATTTTCCCTAGGTCAGAGCTGAGCCCTTCCCGTGGCACTGATGGAGTGACACACGCTGGGCTGGCTGTATTTCGGGGCTCAGCGTCACCTGTTGATTCCTCCATCAGCTGCTCCTGGGCTTGGCTGAGGTGCGAGCTGAGGGTGGGGAGGAGGAGACATCATCTTCCTGTGCTGTTGGTGCCCTGCTCACCAAGGAAGGGGGCACTTAATTAGCTGACCTTAGGCAGTTCAATGGTGACCAACATGCTGGGGACACATTGGAGCTGAGCACAGTGCAGGAGGCTCTGTGGATGCTCCCAAGTCCATTCATGCGCTGCAGCTACGGGCTGGGTCCTCTGCAGCCTGAGTGCTTCAGAGACAATTAGAAGAGAATTAAAACATGTTTTGGAAAACAGATTGCCTTTTCTGTTGGAACTTTCTGGGAAAGCAAAGCAACCTGCCCTTCTCCCCACTTCAAATCCCACCTGTTTTGTTTTTTTCCTAGAAAAATGTGAAATTCATTAACATGTGGTGAAAGCAATGTAATGACGTATTCTTGATTTAAAATCTGTTTTAAATCTTAAAATGATGGAGCCAGAATTTWAACTGCAAATAGCCTTGCTTTGTGGGCACAAGGCAGACTGTCAGCATGACTGGAACACCTCTGGGTTTGGTAGTTTAGCATCCTCTGCAACAATGGCATTTGAAAAGAAAGCAAGAAAATATGTAGGAAGGAAAAAAGAAATTARTATTATTTCTGTCAAAAGCCAAATCATGCTAGCTGTGCTCAGGTGTGGCTGTGGTGCCTGGGGAGCTCAGGGCAAGCAGAGCCCAGCTCTGGGCTGACCAGAGCTCTGTCAGCATCCCACTGTGGCATCCTGCCATGCCCTCTGGCCAGGTGCCACAGCTGCTCCTTCTCTTGCATTGGATCACATTGCATTGGGCTGCCCTGTTTTCTGAGAGTGGGAAATATTGTGACCCTGTCTGTCACCTCTGACATCACTGTGAATGTCCCAGCATCATCCTGAGCCTTCCTTTGCCTGGTCTGTGCCTTTGCCTTCAGCTGCCTGTGGGCTTCTGACAGCAAAATCAGAGCTCTGTCACTTTCTCTCCAAAAATTCAAACAGCAAAATCCCAGCTTCTATTAACAGCACCACAGGCAATCCTACATCACTGTGAACTTCACTGTGGTTGCCCCTGTGCTGAACACAGGGTTTGGTTCAGGGTKCTTGCTGAAGGTCTGGTGCTAAGCAGCACTGCCTGGCTGAAGTTCTCCTCCCGCTGCAGGCATGGGTGTCCCTTAGATAACTGGAAATGCTGCAAAGTTCTATTGAGGTTYTGACATTCAGGCTTGAAAGTATTTSCTGGAATGAGATGACATGCAGTAGGCTAAAGTGGTGCTCTTTGGTGTGTTGTGGCCACCTGCCCCTACGTGTTTTAGTCTGGAATGGAACTGAACAATGGTTTATTGACCTTTTTCATTTTCATTGCCAGTTTCCTCCCCACACTGATACATCAGAACACTGCTGCTTGCAGGCTGTGTTTCTAACTGGGTTTTTTTTTGTCCTGTAAAGGGAAACTGCCACCAAAATGTCGCCCATCTGTGAGTTTGGAGTGGACAGTGTGTATGTTATGGTGCAAATGCTGCACAGATCACAGATAGACAGATCATGGAGCAAATTTTGGGCTTTCATATTATTWGGGTGTGAAGTGCTTTTTGGATGCATGGTGCCCAGTCTCCCCTTTGGGAGGGCATCTTGAGAACATTYGTGTTGTCAGGTTCTCTGACCTTGGGCAAGTCAGGACTCTGGAAGCAGAAGTGGGAATCCTGTTTTGGTATTTCTTGGGAATAGTTAAGATAGGAAACTAAATAAAAAGTTTATGGTAATATTTGAAGATTGTAGTGAACTCAGGTTAATTTACTCCCTTGGCCAGAACAAGCAGATGAGGTGGCTGAGGCAGCCAGACCSCTGCTGATCACAGCCACTGATGGAACAAACTGGTTTGACTCCCACCACTGCTCGTGACCTCTCCTCAAGAGAGATCTCCTGTGGCCCTGTTGAGGTGGACAGAAACACATCCATGGATGGTGGCCAGTGAAGAGCAGAGTTGGTCTACTGAAGGGTGTACAAGTGACACTTGTAGTGGGTTTTATWCCAGTGTGAAACTTGAGTCCACTCTGCCAAGGGCAGCAAAAACAGTTTTTTCCCTTGACTTCTCCCTGCAGTTAATCCAGGGAATCAGTGCAGCTGCTGCAGGTGATGCACCAAATCTCTGAGGAGGGGTCTGTCCCCAGTCTCCAGTTCGTGCTTGTGGAACTTGGCACAGGCTGTGCACATGCAGAGCCTTACTTAYGATCAGTGTGGCTGACCAGGATCAAATCAGAGCAGGGCCAAGCAGAAGTTTTTATTTCCAAAACCCCAGTTTGATTGTAACCCCCCAGGTTTGGTCACTGTGGAAAACTGTGGCTACAATTACACACGGAGCGCTGATGCCGCTGCCAAGTGAAGCGCAGCCTRATCTGAGCCCTCCAGTGCCATGTGCCCTTGGCAGGCTGGTGTGCATCCCTCTGCCCAAGAGGCTTGTTGTGCTCATGGTCTGTCCTGTTCTCTCTTCCCACTCCTGTCAGATGTTTGCTGCTGAGGAGAATGTGGATTTTCGGATACACGTGGAGAACCAGACGCGAGCGAGGGACGATGTGAGCAGGAAGCAGCTTCGGCTCTATCAGCTCTACAGCAGGACAAGCGGGAAGCACATCCAAGTGCTTGGAAGGAGGATCAGTGCCAAAGGAGAAGATGGAGATAAATATGGTAAGAATATTTACTGGGATCCCTCAGACTTCAGGTCAAAGGCTTTAATCAAGGATGTTGTGCTAAGAATCTCTTGGGAGAAAAATAGTAAGAGAAATAAAAAAAAACAAGATAAAAGGAAAAAAACACTTTCCAGGTTAAGAACATGAGATTTGTTTTGTTGGAGYTGCCTCCCAGCTGCAGGCAGTCCCSTGCAGCTCATAGTACTGCCATGCCCCAATAAATTAGGATATGGTTGAAGAGAATGTCATTCTGCCCAATGCACAGGCTCACAGTGTGCAATTCATAAATGATGCCTTAGTTGGCATTGGGGAAGTCCTTTCCCCGTAAACTCTTGGGCTTGTGTGTGGGTGAATCCAGTGTTTGAATGAATCAYTCTCATCTTTTCAGGTGGGAGAATATTTGGCTTGAATTGAAATTGAGAGCTTTGAGAGTATACCAGAGCTCAAGTCGAATCTCTGAGCATGGGTATCTTGCAGGAAAAACAATAATTGCCCTGTGCTAGCAGCACATTGGACTATTCTGATTGTCATTTGCACACAAGCAACATGCTGGAAATGCTGTTGGAGGCTAGGTTATGAAAAATGCTCTGATTCTGGTTCATTCTGAGGTGGTTGCAGCTGAGATGCTTTTGCTCTAGCTGGCTGTTGGGAGGATGTGAGGGCTGTTCAGAGCACTGGTCCTGTTTGTGTTTGGCATGTGCAGCCCCACATTGCTGTGTGGTTGCAGAGCTGTGTGTGTTTGCTGGCACAGCCATTCGTGTGGGATTGTCTGGTGCAGCACTGGTGAGGTGGAGGTGGACTATGACGATGGCCGGTCAAAATCTGGGACCGGTTGTTCCCCGAGGGAGCTTCAGGGGGAATGAGGCACACACTGAGCGTGAGGGCAGCTGCTGCCAGGGCCGGCACGGAGCAGCGTGAGCTGTGCCATGGGAAGCGATAGCCAGAGAGCACCTGGCAGGTAGCAAGTGACCGCCAAGACATTTGGTGGAGTCAACCCATCTCTCAGAGAAACCCTGCCCTGAGCTCTCATCAACCTCGYCCTTTGTCATTCCCAAAWTTCCAGATATTTCAGAAGTGAAAAGTGTCACTTGGCTGCTAATTATTGTGTCATTTTATTGCGTKCATCCTCCCAAGGTTTGATGCATAAACGAGTCGCTGGTGCCGCCGCCGCCCGGGGCCGGCTCCTGCCCGCGGTGGCTGTCAGGTGCCGTGATGGAGTTTTCCTCTCCGTGAAAGAAGGCGGCATTTACAGTGCGTGCATCAGGGAAGTGTTCCGGGAGCAGCTGACAAGTGCTAATTTATGTGTCAAAGCCCATCTTGTCCCCTTCATACATATGCAATCGTGTCTGAACAACAAATCCGCGCGTTCGGCAGCGTGCTCGTGGCCGAGGGCGGTGCTGCCACGGCAGAGCCTGAGATTCCCCGGCCGGGAGCTCCAGCATCCCTGCCTGCCCCCAAACCCCGCTCCCGGTTGCCCGAGTGCCCTGGCCGTGCGGTTGTTTGCCACCCTCGCCCCACGCCCCTGCCCCGGAGCCTCCCCATCAAAGTCGCTGGGGCTGCGGAGCCTTGGCGCGCAGCCCTGTGAAAGGTTATGGAAATGTGCTCCTCGTCCTGCTTGGCACGGAGCACTCGGAGCATGATAATCGGGGAGACAGTGAGGTGGGACACGGCGGGACGGGATGTGACCGCGCACAGCTCCTCTGGGATAATGGAGTGGGGAGAGATGTCGGAGTTACTGGAGTGAGAACCATCTGTGTTACAGCCCAACCTGGACACAAAGGCAAAGACACAGGGCTTATTATGTGCCGGGAACCCCTCCCCCTGAGGCATTATTAGGGAGTAACCTTTGATCAAGACCACAGAGAAGCTTAAACCGGGTCTGGGGATCTCAACAGTTGCAAACTTTTGATCCGCATCTCCGTCTTGTCGGTCAGGTCTGCATTTGGAGGAGGACACCTCTCCTCGCACGCAGCAGATGGCTGCGTGTCCTGCTGCCCTTTCCCTCTGCTTCCCTCTCCGCCTGCCTCCATGCTGGCACGGTGACACAGAGCCGGGTTTCGCTCCGGGGGTGCCCGCTCGTCCCCGGGCTGTCACCCCTGCGGATGGCACAGGCTCCCGCACCGCCTCACCGTCCCTGCTTGGGGAGGGATGTGCCTGGTGGCCYAAGGACTGCAGCTTGGGAAGGCTTTGGGAGGACAAGCAAGTCAGAAATGTCTGAGAAAAAGCAAGAGACGTGGGAAAATGTGCCCGTGAGCCGGCTCCAGCCATGAATTCTCTCAGCAGCTCGGTGCCATGAAGAGAAGGTGTTGCCAGGCASGGAGCACGCAGGCTCAGGATTCGCGAGGAAAGCTCTGTCAGGGCGAAGGTCGRTGGTGCTCATCACCAGCCCATTAGCACTAGCCTGTTTTAAGTATAGGGCAGCAAATAATGTTTTAGCATCTCTCTCGAGTCTTCCCTTACATTCACAACAGGGTCCAGATGCCTTTTTTTTTTCCTTTTACATTTTTTTTTCACATATCCAGYTTCCAAATGGCTAGCATGGGAGGGTTGTCCTGCCTTTAAAGAGAGGTTACTTTTATTGCAAGGTTTTATTGACATCTGTAAAACTTCTCACCTCTTGGTTCCTGAGAATGCTCAGAATAGAGGGGAGGTGGCAGATCTCAAGCAGGGAATTGCTTCTTTCCAAGCAGCAGCATGAGCAGCCAGCCCTAGCTCAGGGAGGAACGATGCTGCAGGGCTGTGGCAATCCAGCCCCAGGAATCCCCCTTGACTGTTTTTTCCAGGTGTGCAAATGCCATGTGCAAGGCAAAATGCATGCTCTACAAAGCGTAATTTTGCTGTCATAATAATTCCAGTGTGTAATTTTTGGTTCATGTATTCTTTGGGACCAAGATCTGGCCCCGTGTGTCAGATTTTTAAATGGCAAATTAAGTCAGTTAATAGAATTAATTCAGTCGATGTAATCCTTTTAATCAGATGGATTTGATCCCTTCTCAGATGAATTAGAATCCATTAGCAGATAAGTCAATTATTGGWCTAAATTAAATGTAATAATAATGCCTGCTGCTCACAGCAACACTAATTAATCTAAATACACTTACCTATCTCCCAGGGTTGTTTTTTTTAAAGGCTTAATTGATGTTCCTAAAGTGCTCTGAGATCTTTAGATAACAGATGATCTATGTGAGCAAAATATTATCTCTTAACAGGCTATAAACTAATTAAAGGACTGATCTATTTACAAATTACATTTTTACTTTAATCTCTTCAACCTATTCAGAAAGAGTTTGCACTGGCCYAGAAAAACAATATTGCTCTTATAAGCTTATTACTTTACAGGTTCCTAAGTGGTCCTTTCATTCAGAAAATGAAAGGGTGAAGGAGAAAAAACAACCATTAAAGTGCTGACAAAAATAAAAGAAAAGGACCTGGAACCTTTATATTCTACCTCCGATAAATGGTACAGATAGGGAAGAGAGGGATCAGTGACCTGAAACCTTAGATCCTTTAATTTATTTTCATTTCACAAAAGGCAGAAGACATTCTATCCTGTTTGTTCACGATCTGTGTATCCGGCGCAGCTGGGGAGACAGAGCTCTCTTGGTTGGGTGAAGGCATTTTTTGCCTCATTTGTCTTTCACAGCCATGGGATTTTCGGTTTAATTTGTCCCAGCTACTGCTGTCCTACGGGGCAATGAGCAGTGATAGCCATCAGTGGAGAGGTGTGAGAGCCCTTTGCTCCTCTGCTGGAGGGAACTTTAATCTGCCGGAGTGTTTGGGTGTCCTGAAGGCTGGGGTGTGGTGGTGAAGGTACATTACTGATCAGCACCTTCCGGACGGTGTTTTGTCCATGGATCCATTCCATCACAGTTTAAAAAACACCCTTGGGTTCCCCCAGGAGTTTAGAAACTCTCTTTTTTATAGACCTTCCCACTTACAAACTCCCCAGACTACAGCGTGGAGGCTTTGTTTGAGAACACCCTGTGCAARGGGCAGGGCACAGGTGGGACCTCTCAGCATCCCAGTGCTGGGCACTGAGGCAGTGCCAGCCTCTTGGAGGCGGTTTGGTGGGTTTTAGGTCAGAACTCTTGTGAGACAGGAGGTTTCGGGGCTTAACAGAGCTTGGGTTTTTTAGCGGGGTCAGGCAGACCAAGGAGGGAAGGAAAGGGGACTGTGCACGCGATACTGGGTGTGACATGCACATGTGACACATAGCATGCCCCGGGCAGATGTGATTTCTGGGTAGTGCAGAGAAAGCAAGGAGCTGAGAGAAATACGTGTCTGCTTCCTTGGGCCACTCCAGCCTGGGTGATGTGCCCTGCAGCCTCCACCTTCTGCTCAAGSTGGAGCTTCCCTGAGATGCCAGTGGACCTGCCCACGGAGAGTACATTACAGCTGTCTAGACATCAGCCACACTCCATCCTGCCAGAGATTTCATTTGTGGTAGAAGTGGGCTCTGTTCCATGAGGAGGTGTAATATGTGTGGAAAATATTATTATAGCAAAATAGCCTCCTTTAATTGACTCTAAATTTTGCAGGATTCCTTCCTAGGTTTGGATAATCCAGTGCTCTGCAGAATTAATGGCTGACATAGCACTTCTTCGGGTTTGGCAGCCTGACAGCTAATTTAGAACTCCCTAAACTCATTTCACTAATGACTCCCATTTGTTCTATCTGAAAGCCTGAAAACAAATGCAAAATACCAGTGCCATTGTCCCATCTTTAGCAAGTCATTCTTTCCCCTCTGTATTTCTGGCACCTTAACAGCAAGCTGCCTTGGGAAATCTGATTAACTCTTTCCCTTCCTAGAATAGTTTAAATCAATTTTGATCCCTCTCCTGGGAAGAGCAGGAGTGAAAAACTAAACTCATTGTGGCTGGAAGGCTCAGAATTTATCTGCAAAAACGATAAGAGATATAGTCCAAACAGCAATTTGGATTTGTGAAATATCGCTGTATTTCCACAATTTTTCCACGTGTATTTCCAAGATGCTTTTCT